CATCTAGCCTAAACCCATCTCCTACAAATTACAATACCATTTTTTTTTTTCGATTTTTCTACAAGGCGTTCTGCCGGAACTTTTTGAAAACACACCCTTAAACATGCCACAGCAAATGAGCTGCACACCTTTCTGTTGAAATTGGACAATATTGGATCGACATAGGTTGTCCGTAGATGCGAGCAGAATGTGAAGTCAATCGATACCACTTTCAAATTTTCAGTCCAGTGCATGAGAAACCACGAACAACTGTATTCAAGTTGAAGGGATGCATTTGGAGCCATTACTATCTGTGACACAAAGGAATTTAATTTATATGCATTAAAACTCCACAAAAAAATATTGTGTCTTATTGATGCACTGAACAATTCCTAGAAATGTTATTCCATAGTGCTGAATCACCATGTATAGGGCCAACTAATAATCGTGTTTCTTTCAGTTCGAGGATCTGCAGCAAACACTTTCAGCAAAAGAGATATTACTCCAAGAACAGAAACATCAGTCCGAACAAATCTTGAATTCCTTTGAAAATTACAAAGGAATATATAACAACGATAAATTTGAAACCTTAAAACTAGAGGCATCCATTTCGAATCAACGGGTCCAGGAATTAGAAGGAGAAATACGAAAATTGAACAAAAGTAAGACTTAATATATTTATTTTGACAAATTTATACAATTTAATCATGCAAACTCTAATATAATAGTTTTCTATACCTACTGGTTCCAACTGAATAGAAAAATATATTCCATGATTTTTTAAAAATCTATTTTTGCATAATTCATACTGAAATAATGGATCATATATCGACGGCTGAAGGGAATAATCGGCTAACTCGCAGTCCGGTTCAGGGAACGGCTAACTTGCGACCCGGTTGAAAAACCGGTTAATTCGTGAGCGTTTTTATTTTATCTAAATTTGTAGGGGCAGCCCTGTACTATTTTAATACGAGTATTGTATTGTATATTGTTTTTTGGATTTTTTTTCTGTCTATTTATTAATAAAAACAAAAAAACGTTACAAAAACTTCAATGAGGGTTTTTTGTTATTTTTTTATAATTTAAAAAAGGGTATGTGCATGGTATATAGCAGCATTTAAAAAAAATTTGGTAGCGCATATTTAATAGGAATTGCATATTAAAATCGTACAAGTAGCCGATTTTTTAAGTGCGCCGCGAGTTAGCCGCTTCTTGGACCGAATTGAATTGAACTCTTTGAATTTAATGACTAATTTACCTAGTCGACATTTTACAACTAAATAATTTTTAATGGTGGATTTATTTGTGAGAGATATTTTTAACTAAATTAATTAGAAAATTCGTTTAAAATACGACGACCTGATTTTTGGAAAAACTCAAAATTTCTATTATTAGCATTATTTGAACCCTCGACTTCGTCTCGGGTGTCAAACGGTGTCGTCGTTCGAAAAACGACACTTTTCGCCCTTCTACTGAAACTTTTTTGAAAACGTTCTTCAAAATCATTTCAAAATTAATTAAAAATCAAATACAGGATTGTAACAAAATAAAATAGAAAACGAATACATTTGGCTTACGGAAACGCCTCAAGAAAAAAAATTGGTTAACTTCGCATTGAAAATGAAACGATTACCTACATAAATTTTACTTAACGCTTTTCATCCGCATAACATGCAATAATTTTCATACGAACTGCACCCTGAAACCATCTTTGACATTTAAGGCACTTTATCTAGTTTCCATTTTCTTGGCCACCGTTATAAGGCTAATTTTTATTACTTTTCAAGGCTGCAGGCTCATCTTGTTTCTCCTTTTATTTTTTAAATTCCTTTCTGCACTTTCGCCCAACGAGGATGTTCTGCCCATACTGTTTCCCTTGATGAATTGTTTTGCTAAGCGTGATCGTAGTAGTACTATCAAGAATGTTCTGTGTGCGAGTGGCTTGTCTCTCACAGCTCTGGACAAGTCCTCCTGTACATATAGCCATTTGTACTCTTTCAAACGGTGTAAAATATTGGTGTTTTGGGTCTAAGAATTTCAAAATACGTGTGCATCTGTCCCAAAAGGCCAAGCGTTATCTATCCCAAACTTATGGGGCAGATGACGCACCTCTTTAGGTTACAATATATATCGAGAACCGGTTTATGCACTGTGAATACAGCTTCTTAAATAATCCCACTTCATACCAAATGCGTCAGAACGTCAGTATTTAGCAGATTTCTAGCGAACTCCAGTTCAAACTAAGTATCTTGCAAAATTCTGTGGTACTTCCCAAGCATATATCTCAAAATATCTTGTAGGTCTATAGCATTTTTGGCACGATTTTTTCTGAGCAGCAAGGAATAGACTGTTAGGATGTTTCTAACTTGAGCAACTGACACAAAGAGTACAATTTTTCCGAATTATCGGACTACGTCATGTCTCCCGCCGCTTCATCTCTCCCTGTTTTACCC